TTGCATATAAATCACTATTTATGCCGCCTTCTTTGTCATCCCATAATTTGTTTAGTTACCTCAAATTTATTCTACACGTTTGCGGATGACTGAAGTTAATTCACAAACCGGAGGTGTATTCGGTGCCAGACACGAAGGTTTCCTTGTACAACTAAACAAACTAGCATACGATCCTCTAATGTTGATTCATGTTGGCGTTTGTGCTATTGTCTATTGTGTATACGCAATATTCATGTCATGAGAGATGCGATAGTCCAAGCTAGATCCGAGGCTAATCTAGCCTCCTTCTCTTGTCCGTTGGCTCTTCCTGCTGTCCCGCTCCATGAGCCTATCCATTAGCAACCAATAGTCCCTACTCAATTTCCTATACTCGCTCCTCCTATTCCGGATGTTGTCTATTTTATTAATTTCTATAAACTTTCTCATCTTGAACTTTGACGTCAAGTCCCTGCGACCCACAAAACGTTGGGTTTTGGACCAGTCTATTGAGTGTCCTGTACATGCCATGTGCTCAGCGAGATCAGACTTTTGTACATGCACACCTTTACAAGCGGTTTTATGTCCACATAATGTCCTCCTCATGGGTAGGCAGGACTCCCTCACATAGGCACTACCACATGAGCACAGAACCTCGTAGAAGCCAGAGCTAGAATGTGGGTCTGAAAATTCTCTAAAAGAAGGAACTACTTGAGAAAATGTGAATTTCTCTTTATACATTGTTCTGATTTTCAACTTTCTCACAAGGTCACCTTACTCTTTTCCAAGCTGACAGGAAGGCAAAATAAAGAATTCTATCCTGCCCCAATAGCAAATTATCCTCTTCTTGTTATTAAAAATTATTGTCTATTAATCTTAATTGGTGATTGTTGTGAAGCAATATACGCCTCAGTCTGCCGATCTCATGGTCCCTGTGGTTTAACTGTTAGATACACACTCCTTATTATCGTTGATTTCATAAATCCTACTTTAGCCAAATTTGTGTGATCGTGTGTGGGTCACCAATACATCAAAAAAAGACAATTTATTTTCCCTGTTCATATTGACAAGAAGACCTAGAGGAACACACCTTGTCCGGAGTCCATAGTATGCATGATCAGTTCCACTGTCGAATCGTCGACTCGGTACATTCCCAGACGTTTCGCCGGCTCTGGAAATTCTCATTACTACTATGAACAAGATACGTTCCTCTAGGTCTTCCTGCCAACATGACCAAGTTGCGAAAACAAGATCAAACAACTTCTATACGACGAAAAGAGACCACGACCATACGAAAGGCGACACCATCCTGGCTTTCATACCTTATAATTTATTTTCCTTTTATAACTCCACAGTAAACTTAGTATTAGCATTGCCGTGTTGCCAAACAGCAAAGTAATCCTCCATAGGACGAGCAAATCCCTTGGGAACTAGGAGTTTCACTTAAAACACACGAACTTCTAATTGGGCCATGCAGTTGTTAGCCAAAATAGGGGCTAAACAAGATCCCATAGCCAAATCCCGTGTCTTCTCATACAACTTACCATTGAAGAAAAATTGTTTATTATACATTGCCAAATTGACTCATCTAATGATTGAATTCTTGCCTAACTTTTTACCGGTTTTCATTTCAGGGTGTTGATCTAGAGTTAATTTAAGTTTCTTTATTGCCTCGTTTATCAGAATTTTAATGTCATAGACACTACATCGAAGCTTACCAACAAATCTCCTCTTTTTATCGTCTGATCATCAATTAAATTAATTAAGTCGTAGGAGTTCTTTTGTGAAAACTTCCAAGTTCGGAGATTTGCTTTAATTATGTGCATATAAATCATGATAATTTATGCATCACACCACCTCTATTATTTACAATAATCCTAAATGGGCAAGCTTGCTTGTGAATTTTTGGCGGGCCATATGCGTTTGTGGGTGCCTCCTTAAGATCTCGAAGTTAGATGCATAAAAAAGCGACTAGGGTTGCAACCGGCCACCTTAATCTCGGTTTACTATATATTTGTTCTATTTCGTAAAGTGTGGATTACTGCTCTGATGATATCTGCCACATTACAGACGAAAAGTTAGCACAGGTTCCTCGGGGCTGCAAGTCGGTGAGCCGACGATTTCTTCGCTCAGTCCAGCAGTCTTCACTCCGTGTTAATCCTTATTCAGCTTTCGGTGAGACCATATCACGAATTCCTTCCAACAAATTTTCACTTTGTAATGGAAACTCATGCTATAGCATGTGATATGGAAAAATGCTTGACCTTTATTGATCTAAGTACACTCGAGTCCCGCTAGGGTTGTTGATGTGACAAGTTAGAACTTGCATAGCTTTATGATATTTAACAAAAATTCCATTCAAACGTTCTATGAAAAAAATAGTCTACCAGGGAGTTTAAATGTTTGATGGAAAGGTCGTGAAAAATGCCAAAACTCGAGCAAATGGAGGAGAAAATTGTGATTAATTGAGCAGAACTGGTTTGAATAGTATTTCACTTTTATATCTTATATATTATATTATATTAAATATATATATATATAATAATAGTGCTGGTAAAAAATAGGTAAATTTATTGGTTCTATAATTTTTCTTCATACCAAATTACGAATTTATACAACATTCTACTCAACTTAATTACTGTTGATATACTTCAATCGAAAAAGTGGACTTCGCCTTACAGTAACCTGAAAGAATTCTACATTCAGAATTTCTTTTATACATTGTTTTGGTAAGCTATATTGAACTACGGTCGAGGCAGATATAGGCCTTAAGGAAAAGTGTGGTAAATTTGGTCATTTTAACAGAATAACCAGATTCTCACGTGGCATGATATATTCATGCTGTTTATTTTTCCATTCTATCCAGGATGTAAAAGATTATTGTCCAGCATTAACTTGTCTATGGACTCGGTTTGAAACCAAACCCTTTCCAGGAGCATTGAAGAACGCTTCATTAAACTGAAGGAGAATCTTCGTGAATTCTCAGTTCCCTATAATTTAAGTTAAAATGGTTTATTTTATGCTTTAGGTTGGGAATTAAAGCATTGGAGCATCATGTCACACCTACTTGATCCTATACTATTGTTCAAATAACTTTATACTGAATCATCTTCAAAATGTGTTTTCATTACGAAATCAAGGTTTTACAATTCCTCACTTTTCAATCAATGGACTGAATAGGCAAACAACAAAAATAAGTGGTTTGACCTCGTTGTCGCAACTTGGTCTTGTTGTCAGGGCGACTTAATGGAAAGCACCTAGTCCGAATTCGTCTGCCATAGTAATTGTCATGATTTCCAGCATCAGACAGTGGACTTGGTACATTCTCAAACGTTGCGCCGGCATCGTAGTCGGCATCATCAGTGAGTTTTGCCATTCTCTTTGACGAGTTCGTAGCTTGGTGCGGAGAATGGCAAAAATGACGGATAATGCCAACTACGATGCCGGCGAAACGTTTGAGAATGTACCAACCCCACTGTCTGATGCTCGGAATCATGACAATTACTATGGCAGACGAATTCGGACTAGGTGCTTTCCACTAAGTCCCCATGGCAACAAGACCAAGTTGCGACAACGAGGTCAACCCACTTCTACAAATCGAAAGGAGATTGCGACCATACCAGAGGCCACAACATCTTGGTCTTCTTATCTTCAAACAACAACAAGGTTATCTATGGAAGACAAAATAGTCTGCTCACAGTTTCCTTTAACTGAATTGAGTTGACTTAACCTCCTTTTCACAAAGTCCAGTTAGTTGTCACTCAATCAGGCTTTCTGGAAGACTTCAAAAAATCTACCTCTTACAACGTTGTCTGCCATTGCTGCCATGCCCCCCGCCAGCTTTGAGTTGACTCGACACATTCCTGCCATTTGAGTCAGCCACGTCAGTGAGCAGCAAGTTGTTAAGGCTCTTCAAAGTGCTTAAAGAATACATGAAAAGAATGCCAAATGATGCAGTACTGGATACATTCTTCGAGTTGTCTCCTAAAATATTGTCGAATCAATGCAATTACAGTTAGCATGACTACCGTCTTCTGTTTCGTTCTCATAACTGTATCAATGCTTAGACAACTTTTCCTTTCCCGTTACATTCATTTAAAGACGATACATTAATTGGATGTGAAACAAAGAATAAAATTGGCGTATTCCGATTAATGCAGGCTACAAGTTTCGCTTCATTTTTCCAGAGAGAGTCCGTTTATTTCCTGTAGATGGAAAAAACTGATTTTCCGCGGAATCATAGCAAAATTATGGGTCCTGCCTTTTTATCTGGTCAGCATAAAACATGAGATAGAGAAATCACATGACTTTCTGTTGAGATAGGCCATAAAATCCAAATGAAATTGGCGCTAACAATAACTACTCCTCTTCAGTTGGGCCCTTGACAATAAAATAACACAAAACTTTTCTAGAACAACAGACATTTGCAAAAAATCCCCAGTTTTGGCTTGAACTAAACAGACATTTCCTATCTTTCACCATTTTAATGACATTTCAGTCAAGTGTAAAGTTTGCCTTTTGAACGGCATTTTCTTGATGGTTTATAAAATGCCAATGACTGTTTGAAGAGACCGCTTTTTTTGACGGAATGTTTAACCTAAATGCTTTTCTATTTAGGAGTGCTTTGAGATACCGAATTCTTTATCTTTTTGTCGAATTGATCCAATTATCTGATAATTAAATAACGCTCAAGCGTTGCCAATTACGTGATCACACCACTTATCCCACTTCTCCATAAAATAAATATATATTGAGAAGGTTGTACTGTAGGGTAGCCATTTATGGCAAAATTCGTCTGATTAGGCAACCGATTATGGCTTCCAACTGTATATTGCTTAAAAAGATGAACATTCAAAGACTGTTACCAGGCGTGAATGCGGTAATGAGTTGAAGTGTTCAACCTGCTTATCTATTACGATTTGCTTATTGTATCTCCACCACAGACGGTCGTCAAGCCCAAAAGTCAGTCGGCCAGTCATATTTTGAAAGATGGTCAATCTATCGTCAGCCAAAGTGACCATTGCATGCAGGCCTGTCCAACACAAATTAATCTGCCTTCGCTCCGTTTAGCGCCGAATTGCCGCGATGATTCTGTAAACGATGACACAATGGCTGCTGGTGGTGTACAAATTACTGTCACTAATGGCGATAAAGAAGAGGCTGTACCGGAAAACGGATATGTTGAGATGAGCAGTACCAATTCTTCAGAGCGCTCAAAGTCTGGGCTATTGGCATTGAATTGGGACGACTGTGAAACGAGACGAGTGAAGACCTTGAGACCAGCACTATGCAGGAGTCTGTCGCACAATTGTGATTTGTACTCATGGCATAATGAGTAAGTACTTCCCCTCCAGCATTAAGCATTCATCTTAGTGACCTTAAGATCGATCTTATTTTCATTTGTTCTAATATCAATTTCAAGCTTTTTTTTCTTTTATTTACAATTCAACTTCTATCTTACCTATTTGGTTAAATATTTTGCTTAACTATTTGGTAATTCGATAGTCGTAGAGCTGTGTACATTTGCAGACCTTTCTAGCGTGTGAATAGCATGTGATCAGGACTCGTCTACTACACGAACTAAGAAGGTTGTATTGTAGAACTTTGGAAGGAATGGCGATGTTGTTGGCAAATTGCGAAGAGGAAA